CCCCCCCCCCCCCCCCCCTCCATTTTCCAAAATATAAAAATATAATAGGTAATATCTCTTTCATTCTTCATTGAATGGCTGTTAGCAGAACCTCCTTCGAATCTAGCTCATCTAGCTCTCCCCTCTTACTATGTATGTCTACTTTTAAAGGTCTAAATTGTTTTCGAAATGGGAATTCCTAAGATGAGTTTCAGAAGGTCTAGCCAGCCCCTCATCTACTCAAATTTATTCTATCTGATTTGAAAGGAACCCGACAAGATGTTTGTTTGGTGTATACATATTTCTTGCATTATCAAGTTGGGCTCGGAAGGAATGCAACTGAAGCACTTCGGATGCGATCCTTCTGGACCCTGACTTGACACTAGAGAAACTAATAACCATTTTGTTACATTGGAGAATGAAGAAAGCACCTGATCCTAATGCCAATGCGAGCAGTGCAGGCGTGTACGTCGGAACGGTTCTATGCTTATGGGAGAAAACCACTCGATGTGAACATGAGGGTTCAAGTGAAACGCACAAGTATTCAACAGTCAACATTCGAAGGACCCGAATGGCAAACCTCAACAAGAACGGGCGGCAACTATCACAAATCATCAAAAGGCAGTGCTCCTCGATAATGGTAAGGCTGATGTGCTAAAATAGTCAAACAGACATTGGTGGCATTGAAAACGGTAGCGCTCATACCCACCAAAGCCTCCTCTAGCTGCTCGAGTATGTCAAAATAAGGATTGCCTCAAGGGTTCCTTCAAAGAATTGTCAGTTCTTCACTTGCGTAAACATTTCTTACAGAAAAAAAGAAAGATCCCTCTCCATTGATACTTAAGAATGGGTTTTTCTTATTGTAGGGGACGATTCACAGTGCTTGCTCGAATGTTTTCGAGAGCGGCTGTTGCGAAGTCGCTTTTCCTTTCATCCAAATATATAAAAAGTAAAGATAGGAATCCGGTCTATACATTTTTCTGCAAATATATGTACGTGAAACCACTGTTTTCATAATCTCCCGGCTTCAAAAGGGTCAGAATGAGAATGTTGTGAGGGCAGATAAGCAAACTTCCAGCAACCAATGGTTTTTCGTAAAAATCAGCAAGGAAATGTGATGTCAGACTTGTACTTAAGCTTGCGCTGTTTTCTCTAAAAGGAGGTCTTCCTGTAACTCTGCTCCTGTTCTTGCAATGTGCTTTAAATGCCATTAATGCTATGGGCGTGTACGTTACCCAGAAGGATAATGTTTCTGCGGTCTTCCTTACTCTATTCCCCACTACCTTCATGAACAAATCCTTTTTCGCTGAACTGCACTAATTTTCTCAATTGGGATTATATTTATTGATGGACCCACATTATCAGATGCCACCTATTCAATATTATGCCATCATTTCGAAGTTATGGCATGGGATACATCAAAGATTAATTTTTTTGGCGTTAATCGATCCCATCTGAGGAATGCGACCCGACCTCCCTTCAGAATTGTAGTGGCTTAATGAATGTGTTCAAGGTTTATAGTACAATGACTTGCGTTGATGTGTAAGTCAGTGCTTTATCCTCCCAAACGAGTCTGGCACCAACCAAATGAACCACGCAGGGATAGACGGCCTGGTTGGCCCAGGCGGATATTGACCCGGGATGCGAACCCGTTATCGCGTGTGCGATATTGCGCACTTGCTACTAGACCACCTCTGCCCCACGTGATACATATACGTTATTATACTGCTCTGCCATACGAATTTATCATAACATAACCGCTCTAGTAAGCCGAAATTCTGAAAAGTTCGCCGTTCTCATGGGCCTAAAAATAGTTCGGACTTCCTAGTTTAAACAGTTCTCAGCCAAGCGCTTGACCGGGTGAGGTTGTTTTTCCTAATTTCAACCAAATTAATTGGCTCCACTTTGATGAATTTGTACCCAAAATGTGTAAGACATCATGTGATGGCTACCTACTATCTCATAATTCTATACGTAGTCGTGTGGTTATCTCTTTACTCCGATCTTGTTTCTGGGGGGGTTTGCTTATGGTAAACGTTGGATTTTGTTACCATATGCCCACACGAGTAACGTCTTTGGACGTTATTACGGCGGAACAGATTTCCACCACATCAAAAAACCGAGTGATTCCATCATCAAATCTGAATGTGTGGTAGACTCATCCTTTAGATTTCTTGAACAATTTTATTCGAATTTCTAATCGAAAATGGAGGAAACCGACGAATATAGAAAGCACCTCTTAAGCCTTCAGCGGCAGTTGAACCGCTGTGAAACATCCTTCTCTCACTAATAATTCCCAAGGCTGAAGACCTTGGAAATACCCTATTCCCTACCGAACACAGTTTTTAAAAGGGATGAGTGCGTTGGAAAAAGTTTAGCAATCAACTTTTTGTCTGGCCCTCTTATGACCCAAGGACAGTCAAAACAATGTGTCACTTGACTTCGGAAAAGGTTTGGAAACAGGCATGGGACTATTCCCTCACAAAAACACTCATGGACGGCGATGAAATGGTGCTTATATTAGGACCAGTCGTGGACGGCACGAATGACAGCTTGATGATGGGCAGTGTATTGAAATTTCAGGGCGTTGAATGAACTTCCTTTCTATTTTGATCTCATATTAAGTAAGAGAAGGTCGCTTTAAACTTCTTGAATGGAATCGATATTAGTTCTAAGGCAGACCACAAGCTGAAATGCTTGGGAACTGAAGCAGCTAACATTTGAGATTCGTTCTGAATTCTAAGCCAATGCTTTGGGTATGTTTTTAGTAATGTAGCGAATAGCAAGAGAAAATGTTATATCCCGTAGAGAACCTCTTTGTTTTTCTTGCCAAGTTTGATTTTTTCATTAAAAAAGGGCAGAATCTAGAAGTTCGTCTTCCATTCGAAATTGTTGTCCTGTTGAGTCCTTCCTATACATAGAGGAAGGTAAGCTAAATTTATTGACCCTGCAAAAACAAGGTGCCTGAACAAAAGAACAAAAAAAAATTACGTAATGTAACCTAAACGCTTTTGGGTTCCATTTTGTTACGGAGGAATCCTCTCGCCGAGCTGACTATGACTTCTTTAGCCGCTTGCACATTTTAGCTTGCCTTACTCGGAGGTCTTTCTTCTTCCGAAAGGACGCTGATTTTGCAAATTGCAATTTTCGCATGAATGCACTAATGTGGCAGTCCAAAGAACGGAACGAACTTCTCCGTAATTTTCAACCGTTTGTTGTGTATGGTTGATTGTCTCGCACGCCTTTGGGAACTTCCTCATGACTATCAGGACCAGTGGACTCTTCTCTGCAACATCCCTCGAAAGGAATATTTCAAGTCTTTTTCCTTACCCACTACCTGATATAGCGCCTCTTGATTGATTTCCACGTTTTTCTTGGAGGGTAGCATAGACGAACTGACGGACCGATGATTGTTTGTGATTTAGAGTCTTCTTCGGCAGAGCCGGCTATCACCGAAGCATTTCTGGTCTCCGTGAACAAGGAACGAATCAAGGACGTGACAAAACGATTGAAAAAGTGAGGCACTTTGCCGTAGCCGCCTTCGCGGCGTTTCTTTTCCATTTGTGACTGTTTTGATTGTTTTGACACAGAACTTCAACGCTTATTCTTTCGCTCTCAAAATCGCTCTTCCTATCTACTCTATCCCCGGAAACTTCTTCGTCTTTCTGAGCCTCCCCATCGGGTATAGGAGAAGCTCAAACTTACGATACCAGTGTTATCGAATTAGACTTGGAAGTGCTTTAGGTTTCCATATCCTGAAAGCATGTTTGCTCAAGAAACACATCAAAGCCTGAAAGGATGCCAGTGCAAATTATGCCCTAACACTGCCTTAATGAATTGAATTCATTACTCCCTTGGATACATGGTACTTTGGAGGAATCAGTTACTTCAACGATAATGCATGAAGAATTCCCACACCAACTTGACGTATAGAGGAGAACGTGATATAGTAAGCCAATTTAACATTTGAAACTGTATTAGAATGGGCAAAGGACGATCTTAAAAAAAACCACAAAATATTCAAACATTAATTCCACAGCGGAACGTGCCCACGCGTTGTGCTCCCAAACCAGATCGTTACGTCAATTGAATGCGGTCGATAAAATAGCTGCTGACTGAATAGAATTATCAAGGCTACCTGATGTTCAAACCGAAACTTCTATCTTCCCAGACGGGTCTCGTTTCAGATGACCTGTCCCGGAGGAGTGGAGGGCTGGATGACTGCGTTGGTATAGGTACGGGTTCGGTTCGTAAGCCATCAGTGCGGACATGCCTCACGTGGCACTGCCCCTCCTCTCGCGGTTTATAACTTAAAAGCTATTTCACCTTTTATCAGTTTTCGAAGCGATATCAGCAGAGGGCTGTGGCAAAGAGGGAAGAAAAAGAACAACGGGATTCTCAACCGGTCGCAGTGAAAAGGATTTGCATGAGCTCGGGTTTTTTTTTCTCTTTTTAGCCGCTAGCTGTTATCTATACGATAGTTTTCATCGTCAATTTCGACAGCTGTGAAGAATATCATATTAAGTGCCCTTCACGATTCTTCAGCTTACGTGTCCCAGGCTATAAATGGAGACTCTTATGCCATTCATGATCGTCGATAGGGAAACAAGTTAA